TGGCTTGTTGTACATGAGTGTCAGCATTTTGAAATGTCATGTAAGTGTTTAAAAAGTGCATTACGGGAAGTACACTGAGCTGTAAGGATGTGTTTACTTTGATATTGGGTTCATCTCAGTAATATTCAACTTCTTGCAAATCTTCATATTTAATCAACTTCAACTTCAAATAATCTTATTTATCTGTTAGGAACTTCAGGTGTATAAAAGCATCAGTGTGTACACATTTAAAATGAAGGACAGCATAGCACAAGAACAAACCACACACCCATTTAGCATAATGCATGTTGTGCAAAATAAAGAAGCTGCTTCGGAAATATAATGCACTTATTAATGTAGAAGAAGAAAAAAACCTATACATCTGACACTCTTCCTTTGTTTGTGTTAGGCTACAGGAGTTTATACACTGTTAGTGGAGGCCAGGGATAATGGTGATGTCATCAGTCTGTCCAGTTCAACCACTGTTCTCATTCGTGTCCAGGACGGCAACAACCACCTCCCGAACATCAGCGGACAAACAGTAGGCAGATAGTTTGGCTACATTGCACAGTTTCTGTAGATCACACAGTTCATCATGCTTCTACATGTGTGTGCACTAATCACCCCTGTAAACTCAAACTGTGCAAATGAGTGAAATGTTCTGTGCTATACGCTTAAAATAATCTCTCCACATTTTTCATAATGACAGGCACATGGGGAAATGGTGAACAAAAAGAAAACAATATAGGAAGTCATTGTTGTGCCATTTTTTCCTCTTTTAAAATTGTACAACTATTATAAATTTCTAGAGATTGGCGGATATACATTTTAAATGATTGTATTTAGACAGGGATTGAATAAAAAAATGTAATAAACACAATGTAAAAACTGATAGAATAAATAAGCAATAAGTTAAAGATTTAAAAAGGGATCCACACTACCAGATTGATCCTTGACATTGATATTAGAAATGTATTAAAGTGGTTGCAAATTATGTCAAACCGCCTTTGTCTGTAGTGTAGGTCCTTGGTTTTCTTTTTTTTTAACCATTTCTTTAAGTTAACACTCTGCTGAAGAAAGGCATTCATCTTACAGCCCAAATGTAAATCCCTATAGCTAAAACAAAATAATTTACAGCAATTAAGATGGTTGTCTGATTTCTCCAGGAGTTATATATAGGGGATCATCCATCAAAAAAAAGAAGACAAAAACTACATGGTGATACAAGGAACATTTACTACAGATTCATCAAATTTCAATTTTCAATGTTAAAACTAACACAGTTTATTTACCCAGTTAATTTTACACTGGCATAAGACAAACTCAGGTGAAACATGACATTCTACATTTTCTGCCCTGACCTCTGCGCTGTGAATTAAACCAGGGCTCTGGCAAAGTAAAGGAAGACGAGATTGGGGTGTCTCCTCTGCTCCTGCATGTGACGGACAGAGACAGCCCATACAGCCCTGCATGGAGAGCCAGGTTCAGTATACAGGTGACGAGAAAGAGAACTTTAAGATCGAAACAGACCCACACACCAATGACGGAGTGCTGAAAGTAGTAAAAGTGAGTGCAGTTTGACCACATGCTTTACATTACAGTGACATCCAACTTCAACATGTAATTACTACATGAATGTTTGTCCCAGTATGTTTGCTTACTAATTATATTCTCAAATGTTTTGCAAATAACAACTGACAATTCAGTGCAATTACTGCTTTACAATTTTAGCCTTTGCGCTATAAGGATGGAGCACAAAGGGTGCTTTTCATCTCTGTGGAAAACGAGTCCCCATATTTCTCCTGCAAAGTGAAGGAGAGGACGTCTTCAGGCCTGTGGAAAGTTGACGTGACAAAAACTGGTGATCCCAATAATCCAGCTCTGCTTCATTCTGTGAAAGTTGTGATTGAAATCGAGGAAATCAACCACCCCCCGGTGTTCACTGAGACTGTCAAAGAGACCAAGGTGGAGGAGAACATTCCCACAGGAATCTGGGTAGGGAAAGTGACAGCTGTAGACCCCGACTCCAGTCATGCAGGAGAGTTTGTGTAAGTAGGAAGTTTATTTAGTTTACATGTCTGAGCTCTTATTTGGAGTATCCTCTGTAAAGCAATTGGTATGCTTTTCCACAGGTATGAGGTAGGACATGATCCGGCTGGCTGGGTGACAGTGGATCCCCACAAAGGAAGCATCACTACAGTCCATTCACTAGACAGAGAATCTCCTCATGTTGTGGATGGGGTCTACACTGTTTTACTACATGCAGTAGATAAGGGTAAATCTTGAGTGGAGTGTATGGAGCTTGTTTAAGGCAAAAATAGCCAATTTGCAAAACACAAATGTAAATGAAAAATTACAAAGACCTAAAATATAGACTGTATCATAACACTAAATAAGAAATATAAAATAATTCAAATATAATTTACATTAATTCACTTCAACAGAGCAAGATGTACTTAATGCAATCTAATACAGCTTCCTGAAACAAACGTGTCACATGCATTTTTTAATACTGTAAATTGCATAAATATGGACGATAAAAAAGTGCTGACTCCTAATTCTCAAGAAATCTTAAGGCCAAAATAGAAAATCTAGGCCCATGCTAGTTGCAATCTCAAAACAGAGTGCATGCTCAATACTTGTGTAAAGTCTTTTTTTTAAAAGAATGAACCAAATTGAATCTCAGTTCTTGACTTCCTTTTTTGTTTTGTCAGGTGATCCACCGATGACAGGCACCGCAACACTTAACATCTGTGTGACAGATCAAAATGACAACGTGCCTCAGCTGACAGACTACAGGTTCAGCGTGTGTGCATTTGAAGGCCCGACCACCACCAACATCACAGCCTATGACCTGGATGAACATCCCTTTGGAGGGCCTTTCGTGTTTGAACTGCTGGGGGACGTCGATGGAAAATGGAACCTGAATCCCTTCAATGGTAGAACCAGCGATCCTTAAGAGTGAAATATGATATATTAGGCTACCTTAAGATGGTATGAATGCATGAAAATATCAAAACAAACATTTCATTGTGGGATTATTTCACAGGGTACACGGCTGGTTTAGTAAAGGAGCATGACATGTATCCCGGTAACCACACAGTGGATCTGAAGGTCTCGTCCTTGCAGGGAGAGTTTAGTGTTTACAGCCTCAAAGGGACTGTGTGCGACTGTTCTGTGACGCCTAATTGCCGGAGCCGCGGAGACGCCTCCACAAACACTGCCTTGGGTGCTTTAGGCATAATGTTTGCCTCACTGTTTTTACTCCTGTGTAAGACACTACATCCTCTTATCAGTTCTACAGAATGGTGGAATATGTACTGTAAAATCATAATTCATTGCTCTTCTCTCTGACAGTCTTTCTACTGATGGCAGTTGTCATTTCCTGCAAAAATGAGCTCATCCCTCTGCAGACCGAGGAGTCCTCTGGAGAAACCCTCATTGTTTCAAACATTGAAAAACCAGGAACAGACTGCAAGGTCACAGCTCAGAGACATTTGCAAACAAAACGTTTATTTACATAGTTGTCTTCATGCAAACTTCAGTAAGAGTTTACTTTTCTTTCAAGGTTGAAGACAGTGTCTTGCGGGTGTCCATTGATAACATGCGTCAGAATGTGGCTTACAGGCAAAGTCTGCATGGTGGAAAGCAAAACACACCGGTCTTCACTAAGGTGGGGACTGTAAGGATTTAAAAGCAGAAACTTTCTCTGGTTCAATTGCAAAACTTGAAGAACTTGGCAGATCGTAAAGCATTCTTTAGATTTTTAAAATAGTACCCAGTCTGTTCAGCCACATTTTAGTGAATACCATGCTTAGGAAACTAAAGATTACCAAGTTAAACGGAACTCTTACTCTCTTCTTTGTCTTCATTAGCAAGTTCTCCACAGAAACTCTGGATATCAAAGAACTAAAAATCGTACCTGCCGTGTGAACATAAGCCAGGTATGCACTCATTGAATATCATTTATCAGTCACAACCATGATTGTTTCTAAACTTTCATTTTCATCCATCCTCAAATCTTAGACATCTTGGAATTCTCTAAAAGCCAGTGGTTACAGCCACAACCAACAGGTAAATTAAGAGTTGGTTTGATTCAAAAGGTTCAGAAGCATTGATGAAGAAACCGTATTTATGTGAACTTTCTGCTGTGCTCAGATTGAAGCGAAAGGCACAACAAATACCTTCCTCAAAAGACACTCGAGCTTTGCGTCAGATGCAGTTCTCCTCGCTCTGCTTCATAGGGTTGGTTACACTTTTTTTTTTCCACCATCATTAACACCTGGAAGAATAGAATACACAATGTTTTTACTTTAGTGTTTGACCTCTCCTTGTAGAGGCTCTCCTCTCTCAAGCAGGCAGAAGAACATGTGGACTATCAGCCTCACCTCTATGCTGAGGAGGGGGACTTGGACAAGCTCTCAGAGCTGGAGGACATCACCATTCCTGACCAGGATTCATTTCACAAAGCTTTAAATAACTTGGGACCAAAGTTCAACGACCTGGCTTCTATTAGCAGGGAATCAAACAGGAAAAAATGACTACATGTTTGTAACCAAATGATTGTTGTTAAGCAGGGAATCAATGTTTTCTGACTGTACAGGCTGTGGTTTTAAGGTTGCTTAATTAATTCTGTAAGGTTTGTCATGAAGCAAATTTTGGGATTCTTTGTTTTTCCTATACGATTACTTGCAGCTGAGAAAGTGATGAAAGTGATTTGGTTATTCACACATTATTTAATAGCAAATGTTAGAGTCCTCCACAGTTCTCCTTTTACAATCAGGGAACAAAACAAAGTACAGCTGTCCTCCAAAACCATATTTGGAGTTACATTTAACCATCAGGTAGACAAGAATTGAATTCAGCAACCAAACTAAAGTACATGCCTAATGGGGCCTATTCCAAAGACAAATCAAACCACTACCAGTGAATTAATTTGCTTCCAGCTGTTAAAGTAAAGACATTGCTCTCCCAAATCATAGAATAAGTTCAAATTTCCCTAAATGCAATTTTTGGTAGAAAAAAAAAAAAAAAGAATATTTGCCTCAAGACCTTTAACTGGGGAGAAGGGAGGTACTTTTTAAATAAGTAGAAAACTACAATATTTACAGAAATTATAACAAAAATATATGTATTCTCACACCCTCCCACTGCCTATTTTTGGGAGGGGTAGTTGCTCAGTTGTGCTCTGCCCACTGCGTCCTCGGCCCCTGAATCCTCTGCCTCTAAGGAATCGCCCGGGCGCTCCAAATGTTTCCATGTTCAACTTTTTCTCCTCAGCCCAGGTGGTTTTCCTGTAAACGAACACACACGTAAAATATATTGTAGGACATTGCAAACCCCTGAGGAATCACAAAGACAAGCACAAAGTGTTAATCACCTGGGCTTAAGGTCTGATGAGATGTTGTCGAAGAAGCATTTGGCTTTGTCGTAGTATTTATCACCAAGTGATTCCTCCTCCTGCATACCCTGGCCATCCTGGGCCTCTCCAGACTCCACATTTCAACTGCAACAATTACATAAATGTATATAAACATATGAATTCAAATGAGGTAATATTGAATCTATTGTAACTAAATAAACATTTACTGAAATACTCATACCTACGACCTCCTTTGTAAGGTCATCTTTAAACTGAGCATTTGCAGTTTCAAAATCAAAATCAGACTCAAACTGCAAGGTTGACGCTTTTGAGTTTTTCACGAGAAGTTGACCTCTGCTTCGGTTTCTGGTCCTGCGGCTGCCTGTGTGTCATCAACAGAAAAATAAACACTACAGAATAACAGCAACAAGTTATATATCAGTTTCATCTAGCCTCATATTTACTTTTATAGTCCATTTTGACAGATACATATTCAAGTAGTTTGCATTTTCTGATGCATGTTGTAGCTCACCAGAAGTTTTCTTAAAAAGTATGAAGACAGTGCTTCTCTGTCACGCAGCTTTTTAAAAATGTGATACCTTGTTTTTGTCTCTGTTTTGGGTTCTCAATGACTTTGTTTTGCACCTTGGCTGCACTTGGCTGAGTTAGTCCTCGACCTAAACAGAAATGAAGTATAAATGTTAAAGAGGTTTCATATTTCTGAGCCGATTTTTTTTTTTTTTTTTAAAGAAAAAAAACAAGCTATAGGAAAGTTAGTTTTTTTTTTTTACGTTATAGGCTACAGTTAGTTTGCTCACTGGTGGGTAAATTCTCCTTCAGAACCTGGGAACCAACCCGGGCAGATCGCTGGCCTGGACGAGTCTGCTGTCTACCCTGTGGCTGGGTTACAGTCTTCCCTCTTTTCTGCGTGGCACTGACCAATGGTACAGTCTGGACAGCTTGCTCCACCATGGGGGCTCTTCTGGGTGGGATGCCATGAAGTCCTGGTAGGGAGGTAACACAAAACCATTTTGAAGCACTTCACATACTACTTGATGAAGGCCTGGATTTCACATTTCAACTGTACCTAGACCCAGTGCTGCATTGTACTGCTGGCTGAGTAGAGAACTAGCAGCCAGCTGGTTGTAAGTGGGCATCATGTCTCTGTATGGACTCCAACGTGGGTGATAAGCAGCAGAAGGGTTGCCAATAGAGGACTAAAATGACAATTTAGCATTAATAAAACGATTTGGACATATTTCAATTTAAGAAAAACAACCAATAGGCCTACGGGAAGAAAGCACCCTCCCTCAGCCACACACCTGTACAATAGCTGGGTCTCGAGGCAGTCCATGGTGTGGTTTTGGTGGTTCGGACACAGTGATGTCTTTGATGTCGCTACCTCTGAAGATTATGTATTCATAAATTTCATCTTTGGGTGGCACTGGTCTATCTGTGTGCCGATCTTCTGTGCCAAAGGACTTAACTGTGGGTAAATGCAGTCAAATGGAAAAGGTTCAAATACCTGCCAACTTTGGTTATACACCCCAAAGGCCTCTTAATGTAGCAATAACTGTCAAAAAAAGAAAAGCACATGTTTGTTCGACAGTAGAGACCTCCAACCTACCTTTGGCTAAAGCGACCGTGGACCTGTCTGTGTCGACAGAGGACAATATTCCCTCGTATCGAATTTGTGCCTTGGATATTAAACTTATTTTACTGCCGATGTACGGGGTTCCTCCTCCAGCACTCATGTTTGCCGTGAAAATATGTTTGCAAAAGCACCGTCTGAATCACCGATCGTAGAATAACAGCACACGTGAACTAATTACTATGTTCACAATGACCATGCACCTGTGCGCTTTATAAGTTGCCAGTGACGCACGTGTAAGACAGGGTTAGTTCATTTTTTCAGCCGGCGTACACCGAAATAAACACGTTCAGAACTTTCTAGACTACAATAGCTAGCCTCCTTGATGATAGAAGTTAAAATCGGAATGAGCCAGATGGCTACGTCTTGTAGGCTGTAGGTTATTATTTTCTTCTCTTTATTTTAGGGAGACTTCAGCCTATAAAAATGTTACAAAAAATAATATCTTCTGTAGGCCTATTTATTACAAAATATTGGGATGCTTTAATAACACAATAACTCTTTGCTCACATAGCCTACTGCACATTTCTAACATTAAAAACACAATTTGGACTAATGTTTAAATTATCGAATTCACATTAAAGGTAAACATACTTTGTTTTTATGTTGCATAATTAACTTTAAGTCGGCGCATATGAGACTTTAACCGCAGTATAGGCCTACCCCATGATTGCTGACAGTACGGCACAATATTTCCTCTCTAAAATGAGGGTGGGGCGCCCTCAAACGCCTTATTACAACAGCAACTTCACTTGCTGGCCAAAAATACTGCAGCCATCTTGTATAGCGAATCGACAGGGATTAAACTCTGAAATTAGGCTCGTTAGCTTGTTGTAAAGCAGGGTATTGTTGGACCTATAACCAGATGGTGCGACTCTGAAGCTGAAAAGTTATCGTGATTGTAGAAACACCCCGGGAACAGTGTAGCATTTGACGAAAACATTTCCCCTAAGGTTTGATGTTGTTCCTTCTCAGGCATCCCACGGAATGACAGCTGTAGCCATTGGTACCGCCTTTTAGCATGTGGAACAGCCAATCACAGCTCGCCAAAATCCCTGCTCGGAGCCGCTGAGTTGTTGTGCGCAGGCGCAAGTCAGTTGGTAAGTACCTCACTTCTCATAAGCTCACAGGAGTGTGAAGATGGCGGTAGGCTTCGGCCCGCTGGGTGAGCCTTTAGTGCATACAGAGGTGAATAAAGCGGTAATTTACCATAATGTGCAGCCTGTAGAGTCACAACTGTTGTTCTTGTGTAAAAACAACCACTCCAGTAGGCACGAGAAAGCCGGTAATTACATGGCTATAGTTCCGGGACAAGCGGGTAGAGCGAGCTAATGTCCAGCTGGGACTTGGTCCAGACGGCTGCTGAAGCAGGTACGCTGTAACTACTAATATTACTTTCCTCTTTGTCTCTCCGAGTAAACACGAAAAGCAGACAGCTGAGGGGGAACTGCAGTTGATGTATAACAGTCTTGCCCCATCACATGATTGTTTGTGGTACTTCTGAACAAGTTGAAGTGCAGGGGGTCTCATTATAACGAGGTCCCCATGGTTCAACTATGGATGCATCGACGGCCAGCAAGGACCACACCACTGGACACGACCCTGGCAAAACACTTGTTGTTAGTGGCGGTGTAACTTCTCTCCCTAATGCCCGGGGGGAAATAGGCTCATACTCGGTTCAGACTTTAAATGGGAACCAAACTATGAACTCGCACAATTCAGGAAGCGCTGCCCCTCTTAGAGGGGCGACAATGACGGGTGTCACTGGTAGCACTGGTAGCACTGGTAACGTTACTGCGATATCTGCTATGAACAGTGGACCAGTGATGTCAAAAGGACTGACCGGTGCGTTAATGCCCCCTTCATCAAACAGTGTAATTCAGACGCCCCTGATGAACTCGCAGAGTGTTGTCGCTTCACCTCAGCCTGTAAGCCAAGCAACAGGAGCCACTGTGGCACTCGTCAGGCCGCCTATGCAAACTGTGGGATCGGGAACAATGAATGGAAACAATAATGCGAGCCCTGCTGTGGTTGCCAATGCAACAGGTCAGACAGGTAACAACATACACATCCCGCTTGTAAACAACAGTCAGCCGCCTGTCAACGCAGGGTCGCACATAATCAAGGCAGAGCCCCCAACAACTATAGTACAGTCTGCACCGCAGCCGGCTGTCACTCCTGGAGCCGTCAGCGCTCCCCGGGCTCCGGTGACGGTAGCTGGCTCTCCAGCCGGGATCCGAGCCCTGTCGCCCCAGATGTTGGCCCCAAGGCTCCCCCAAACGTCCCCGGGACAGCCAAGTATAGGCCTACACAACATCCAGCTCCCCCCGGGTGAGTGAAGTCAAAACTTTACTTCAAGTATGCAGTGATGTTTCCACGTTTGACACATTGGTTTCATATTCATATATGCCTCTGATAGGTCATTATAAGAATAATAATTGAAGGCTATTTGGCATGTTTAACATTGTTCATCCAATACAGACTCATTTTAGGTTTTGCTTGCACCAGATTCCTAACTCTAAACAGTTAATTTCATATGGTATAAAACATTTTTTGTTTTCTTGAGATTAAACGACAAGTTGATTAAGGTTTACCTTTCTTCCTGATGTAACTGTAAACGTTTATTAGAAAAGCATAAACAAAATCTTTTTTGACCCTTCTTACAAGTTGCAATTTAATGTAATAGTACAATTTAGTAAACTTTCTTGTGATATGTATCTCTTGGTTTAGGAATGATGCTTGTGCGCAGTGAGAGTGGACAGCTGCTGATGATTCCTCAGCAGGCTCTAGCCCAGATGCAGGCCCAGGCTCAGGCTCAGGCTCAGGCTCAGGCTCAGGCTCAGGCTCAGGCACAGGCTCAGGCACAGGCACAGGCACAGGCACAGGGAGGCATGGCACCTCGTACTGTGACACCAACAAGCGTGCCTCCTGGCCAGGTAAGATCACACTGTGATCCCTAATAAGAACTTTCTTTTGTATTCTCGCACTTTAGTGTCATGGTCATTGCCTTTACATTATCAGCTGTTGAGTAGAATAATAGATATGTTCAAATGTAAAGCTCGTGTATTTTTGTGGAAACAAGTGCTCATGTGTGTTGTTATGATGTATTACTAACCTTTATATATAAAGGCTGTCAAATGATTGCAAATTTTAATCGCAAATAATCGCTAAATTTCAATAGTCAGTCTTGATCAATCGCATTTTTAATCGCATGTTTGAAATTCCACTATTTCACAATTAAAAATAAAATGTTGGACAGTACTCTACTTGCTGGTTGAATTCAACCCTGCTTTTATTTTATAATTAAAAAAAGGAATGTCTGGTAGATCGAAGGTTTCTTCGTTTACTTAACCGCAGAAGAACAAACTCATGACGGATCAAAAACTAAATGAGAACAGCTAAAAGGAACAGCAAAAAAGTGAAAGGTTTGATGTCTTAAGCTGGACATTACTTTTGACTCGTCAACTGAGCTGTCAAGGAGTTTTTCAAAGTAAAGTGCGACATTCAAAGATGCAGCAGTGTCGTTCTTTCCATCACTGTGACTACAGGGACACACTGCAGAGGCTTATCCACGTCGGCCTGCATGAGAATAATACTGATTTAAAAAAATGAAATGCATTAATGTCACACCTTAATTAATCACCGTTAACTGATTAATGCCAACAGCCCTATATGTTATCTATATAAAGCTTTTTATTTATGTCCTTAGATGTAATCAGTGCACTTTCTGGTTTGATGAAACAATATGGTGCATATTATGTCGTTCTCTTTGCTTACTGTTAGGCTCCTGGAAACGCCATTATTAACAGACAAGTGGCTCCTAGCACCATCATGCGTCAGGGCTGTCCAACTCCTACGTCACTTGCTGCGACCACTACTCTTCACAGACCTCCTATTCTTCAGGTAACCCCTGTCTGTTGATGACAAGTCATTTCGTATTATGATTATTTGGCTTGTTGTGCATTCTCTTGGGTCTGTGACTTGTACAGGCTGCTGCTAATGATATGAAGTGTCTCATTAAGTACTTCAAATAAGATCGGCACAATGTCTTTTTTTTTAAGATTTAGATTTTGGCTTTTGCCTTTAGGACAGATGATACAGTAGGAAAGCAGGGGATAGTCATTAAAAATAATAAAACAAGAATTCTCAGAGAACTTTATAATATGGTTCTTTGTTTAAGGGAAATATCTGAAATTATAATCATGAAATTCCACTTTCTTGTTAGAGCTGAAGCATTTTTATAAGCTTGTTACAAAAGTTCAGTCAAAATGTCTCATACATTGTAGACGTGACAGAAACATATTCAACATTTGAATTTCTTCACAGACACCAGTTTTTCTTAAAGTTTGCCAAAAGAAATGAACAAAGCTGTTGAGTATGGAGTCTCATTTTGTAGCTATAACTTAGATGGCTGAACCGTCTCTTCATAATGAACATTTAACCAGCCGTTATGATTGAAGCTCATGTTTGCACACAGTGATCTGCCAGTGGCGTTAAGGCATGTCATTTGTATCTGACTCATTTTCTCCTTTTCCTGACTGTAAAGTTTTGTGGTTTTTTTTCTAGATGTCGGTTAAAAATGTGTTAAAAGTAGCACCACTGAAGTGCATACCTCTTTCTTTGTATCTTAAACTTAACACAATGACGATATTTTTGGAGAAAGAGCAATAACTGAAATTAAGCGTCAGAAAAGCTCACCTGTTAACTGTTTTGAAATGAATTTTATGTTATTGAATTTTGAAAAAAAAAAATGCATTCCCATACTTTGCTGTGATGACTTGAAAAGGGGGGTTTGTAATCTTTTAAAACCTAAATACCACATTTTTATTGTGATGTTTGTCTTCACAGAGCTCGGTCGGGGCTGCAGTACCAGGAATGACCCCCAGGACTGTCAGCCAAACAGCTGGGACCACAATTACCTCAGTAACAGTGAGCAAAGTGAGGAGAGCTTAGCCCAAAGAATCACATAGAGCTGAAGAACATTTATTGTTACGTTGTACTGCTTTTAAACACTCAGCATTTATACTCTTAAGATAGAGCCCGACCGATTCATCGTCCAGCCGATAATATCAACCGATATTAGCATAATCAATTATTTTCAGCTAATTTTATCACAGATATGCGCCGATATTACTAGATTTATTCACCGGTCAAATAGCATTTTATTATAGTATCATTGTATGACACCAGCAGTTCTTTTTCA